ATTTGAAATGCATTTAAGAGGTTTTAGGGATTATAAATAGAAAATTTGAAATTTTGAGATGAGGAAAAGTATTCTTAACTTTAACATGAAATTATTTTGCACACGGACTATTCAAATACTCAATATATTAATGGACAAGTCTTTATTTTATTAAAAATACTTATTAAAAATTTGATTTTTTTGTATGTGAAAGACTTGTCATATGAAATTTTGTGAAGATATACACATTATAATGAAAGTTTGAAGTATTAAATGTATAAAGACTTCAACTGAGTACAAAGAGATCACGTGGTTGGTCGAATTGACCGAGCCAGTGTTGAGAGAGTTAACTGAGTACAAAGAGGTCAATTGGTCAAGTCGACTGAGCCTGTACTGAAAGAGTTAATAAACAAATGTAGTTTCATGTTACAATTTGACAGTGAAGAGGATGGGTGGGAAGTGTAAGCGGAAGTAAGTACTTCTTGTAAATACATTTTCAGTATAGAAATATCATAACTTCTGACAAGGTACCTTACTTCTGCTCACATAGAATCCCACATTGAACAGGTGGATGGACTGATGTGAGGGAGAAGGTAGAAGCATCCTTCAAAAGCACCAAAAGGACACCCTAACAAAGGAACCCTCTAATGACAGGATTATACATGGGAAACAACACAACTTCTGTACCAAGTATACTCTTTGTTCAGATGTGGAAAAAGTGTGGCAGATCTAGGTGGAGACTGAAAATGGTAAGGAGAACATCCCAATGGGAGAGAACACAGGTTGGACGGTGATCCAAACTACAACATACAATAATTTCAAGCTCTCTTATGAATGGAATGTGGGCAATTTAATGGATGTGCCACTAGGTGTAGAATGGCTAGGGTACAATGGACTGTACCTGGCAAATCCACTACAATCTAAAACTCAACTGCCGAGAACCAACATCCATGTGGAGGTAGAAAAGAGGATCATACTGTCTTTACCTGAAGTTCAGCAGACCAGAGGGAGAAACCCCACCACTGATCTGTGAACAGGGCACATGTGAATAGAGATATATATTGAACTGGGACACTGACCTCCGGAGGAACAGAAGCAAGAAAGATGTCCTTTTAATGTGCTATGTCCTACTCTAATCAAACACACTGGAACGACCCAAAATGCAATAACAGGTTTGGCATATAGACATCCACAGGTAGCACAAAAGAAAGTGGAGCAACCAACAAGTATATCCACCATGACCCATAATACTGGGGTAGTGCACTCGAGGCAAATTCAGTGAGGGACCAGGGACACCCTAAACACGTATGTAGACTTATGTTGATTGGTTCAGCTCGAAATCCAAAACTCAATGAGATTCTGGCAGGGATAGGCTGAGGGATCCCAATCAGCAGAATTTGAATGTGGACAATATGTTGATTGGTTCAGCTTTGATGATGGGTATGATGAGGGATCTCAATCATTATGATGGCTCACTCCAAAACTACCATATCCCCTTGAACAAACCCATGTAGAGATGGAGCATCCAATTGGAGGACATCTCATTATCTACACTAGCAGAACCCCCCCCCCCCCCCCTTCAATTGAATGAAGTCTTTATTGTTTATATTGTATATCTCTCATTCAGAAGGATATCTCCATGGTCCACCACACCAGAAGTTTCGAACTGGAAAGTGGTAGGAGAGTCAGTGGAGAGTCCAGAGAAACGTTCACACTGAAGACAGTACAATGGGTAACCAAAAAATCCTAATTTGAAAAGCAGACCACACCTGATTTATTCAATCTAAGGAATGCATCCCCTGAAACACCCTCAGGATCTCAGTGGATCACCTCAGAGAGGAAGTGAATGGTGGACAAGTATCATAGGATAGATGAGAAGTTAAGATGAAAGTGAAAAAATTGGGCATGGGATAAACGAATAGGATAATATGGGTCTGCCCCCCCCCAAATGGGTAAAGCTGATTCTAGGGGCTGAGAATCAAGGAATGGAAAAATCAGTCTGATGATAGACTAAAGCAAACTGATTCAACGCCCATGGAGAGTGAGGCATGTTAGCTCTCTCGTGTAACTTGAGACACAAAATGCTCAGCATGAAGCCCAATATCAGGAGAAGGGGGGGGACTCAAAATACTGAGAGGAAAGAGTATCATGTAACAAGAAAGGGAGAAGATAATAGGAAATTGAGGAGAGGTATAAAACAGAACATACTTGTGAAACCATGTCCAAAAAAGCTGTATTAAGCCTAGTTGATCCCACAGTATGAACTTGAATGGACATGGCAAATTCAAGTGGACGAAAAAGGCTGTAAAATGCTTCATCATTCAGAACGAGTTCAGGCTTGTTATGAAGAAAAATGGGCAACATCAGGAGAGCAAGGTTGGTTCAAATAGTGATTGATCTCTTAACAAATAATTGCCAATAATTTCGTAGTCAAGGTCCCTCCACATGAAGCCTGTGTAAATCTGAACACACACATTTTCAAATGAGAAGTGATGGGTAGAATAGCATAGAGGGAGTCACATGAATGTGTGGCACTTCTGTTGGTGGAGGTTTGTCACATGGTAGTTTGCATGCGAGAATCAGTTAAACCATGTGAATTGAGGTGTGCATGGGAGTGAACGACTTGTGGCATGTGAAAAAATTTTGCAAACAGAGAGCAGCACTGAAAGAGAATAGCTATGTATGTGAGCAGAAGTAAAGTACCTTGTCAGAAACTTTATCTTAAAGAAAGGGCACCACATAGTGGCAAACACCAGAAAGTAAGGCACCCTGACTAAGCAACACCAGGAACAAAAACCCCTAGTTAACTAGCACACTGCAGAAGAAGAAATCAATACCAAAGCAGAGAACAGGTACACACAATTTTCCTCATTGAAGTTGTCAGGGTCACAATGTAGAGTCTCCAAAAGAAGGTAAAGCATGAACAAATAAAAAAGTAGCTGAGCAGGTTAGAGATAAAGACAAGCAGACTGAGGACAAGAGAGATATAAAGAAGGGGAAAGTGGTGATTCCTCAGCTGAAAAAAATTTAACGGATTGATATTCAAAGAAAAATAATGTCAACCATGCACCATAGAATAAGACTTTCAAGGCCCTAGAAAACATGAGAGCTGGGGTCATTATGTGGTTGAGATAAAAAGTAATTGGCACAAGCATGAATATCAGGAGGGGGAGGGAGAAGACAGTCTGTTGAAGGTGGATCATGCAACAAAGTATTGAAAGATTCTGCAAAAAGAACTGAAGAAAGAATGTCACATACATGTGTAATTAAAGCAGAAAAGCCCCCCCCCCTCTCAGTGGCACAGCAGTATGTATGTGGATTTACAACACTAAAAACCAGGTTTCGATACCCGTAGTGGGCAGACCACAGATAGCCCATTGTGTAGCTTTGTGCTCAATTACAAACAAATAAAGCAGAAAAGGACAAAGAATGGAAAGAAGAACCAGAATCAAAAGCAACAGAAGCATAAGATCAGAAATCCTCAAATCAAAATGAAGAAAGTAGAATGGAAATGCCCACATGCTGCACAGTCTGACTGACTGTCAGAGTGTCTCCTGCCATCGTTACAGTAGACAATGACTCCTGTTGAGGAGTGTCAGGAATTCAGAGGTGTCAGAATGTTAGATACATAAATTCATAGTCTAAACTATCCGACAAACCATTTAACATATTTTTTGTAGTTTAGATTAATTTGTTATACTTCAAGCCTTAGCTGGTAAAAATATTAACAAGAATTTAAGTTAAAAAAAAAAAAAATAGCTAACTACTTAACATTAAATTAATTTCATGCAAAATAGTTCAGAATATTTTACCTTAAATATGAAATAGTATATGAGCACACCTAAAGCAAAATAATGCTCCTTGTTAAAGTCAATATAAAAAGGTAGGTGATGTAATCAATGTTCTTCATTTATTCTTCTAAAATGCTCAGCATGATCACAGGATATACTAAAAAGCCTTGATTCTTTACTTTAAACAGTTAAATAATATTTAAAAAAAGTAACAAATTGTTTATTTTTTAGCATTCAAAAATATATATATTTACCTATCATTAGGATCAATCTAGCTAGCACACCCAACATGAGGATATGCATCATAAAATTACCAAACATTTAACTAAAGGTCTTACCATGGTTTATCCTCTATCCACTGTGCCAGAACAAATCTTACTTCCAGAGGAAAATGTTCACCATAAACATTCTGTACTTGTCTCAAAGCCTCTCCTTGCAATTGCTGTAGCTTGGCCCACTGAGCCATTTAAGTGTTGTATCTGATTTCTTTTCCTTAGCCTGAATTAATTACAATCAAAATTCTGCTCATTACAAATTAAAGTTATAGACACAAATTGTATAATATAACTAAGAACACACCAAACCTTTAGTGTTAATGCACATGTAGTGTGCACAAAACTAAAGTGTAGAACAACATAAACCCAATAAGTACAAATCACCTAATATTTTTAACAAATCTCAAAATCCTGCCATTTTCTTTTACAAAATAAGTGAAATATATTCACTGTTGAAATGTTACATGATTAATAAACATAAACACATGTTTCAACAAATTTCATTAATGAAAAAAATTAAAAACTTACAATATTTAAGAACTCATACAAGTTATTCTTAATATTAAATTTCTAATGACTTGTATAGTTTTAATAATTACATAACTGTAGCCAATGAATACCTGAAAAAGACGTTAATGTTGTGCACTCTACTATCACTGAGATATGTAATCCACTTAGGACAAATTCAAGTTACACAAAGAACTTTTATTTTGATATGTTAACTTTATTTTTGAGAAGTATGAACAACTTACTGAAGCAAGTTTATAAAAATGTTAAATATTTTTAAACATTACCTTTAAAATATATTTTCAATATTGAAGACAAACTGTAAATATATTTGAAAATCATAAAACATGCTTATTAATTTTTATTTTTTTTTGCCATGACTAGATCTGATGTAAATTAGGAACATTTTCTTCTATATATATTTAATAATAGTAAAAAGCTTGCACACAATGGAATGAAATTTGAAATAAAGTAAATATCTCTTATTAACAAAAACTAATCACAACAAAACATTTTTTCCTGACTAATATGATTAATTTTATATATAAGTTATGTATCAAACAGTTTGGCCCATGTAATATCCCAGATTGTAAGAAGACAAAATAAGGTTAAAGGAAAAATTAACATTGTTTAAGAACCAAAACCTACTGATTTGATGATGGGTAAAAAGATTGAAAATAAAAAGTTTGTAAGACCTTTTATACAACAAAAAAACAGCACTGGCACTCTTTATTATAACTGGCAATTACACACAAACAAGTTACCATCCATGTTTTATTACGTACCAAGATAAGAAACCTTTAAAACATTTGAGGCAGATATTCTTTTTATCATTATTATTATTTTTTTATATTTTTTTAATCAGGTTTTCTACTGTGAATGAAGAATACTGCATAACTATCTACTTTTATAAGTGTGTTGTTTCAATATTATCATGCATGATTAAAAATGTATGACACTAAATGCATAAATATAGTATTACCAATGGTACCAGGATTTCACACAAAGCAGCCCAAGGGCCCATTTAAAATATCCTACATGAATCCCTGACAAGTTACATTAACAATAAAAAAAGGGACCAATACAAGACTAGACAACTACTCATAAAATTGAGTATTAAAATAATAAATATATACATACTGAGGTCTTGTTCCACTTTAATATGATACTAATTATAATCCTTTTAATATCCATCAATGCAAGTCAAACTTAAATTTTCATTCATGCATACTCAGTTATTAGCAAAACTGAGCTAAAACCACGTAAAACAATATAGGTGTAATAAGAATAATAAAGTTCTCCTTCTATAAAATTCTGCACTTTCTAAAAATGTCCCATCCAAAGTGATAAAACTATATATTGTTACAAGGGTGGAAGT